TAGACCTAAGTGCAGGAGGAAGTTCATGGGCTAATGCATAGATGACATGAACAGGTGTAGACTTGGTAATTCCCAGACACTTTCTGAGCATGTCGTTTTGTAAAACTTCAATTTTTTTGTTGATATAGTTCGGGGAGTTGGCAGTGGATGTCCTCGCATATTCCAGCTTGGATCTAACTACACTCCTGTATATATTTAATGCCATTCTAGGGTGAAACCCGCCTTTTATGGATGTCAGACATTTCAGCATGTTTGACCTATGACGTATGTCTGGAGCAACCTTGTCGTAATGATCCTTGACAGTGAGAGAATTGGTTATGATTCTCCCCAAAAACTTCAATTTTCGTGTCTGAGGGACCACCAAACCATCTATTGTCAGATTAATTTCCTTAATGCTATTCTTGGCACAGTACATGGTAAAGGATTTAGTCGGGTTAAAAGAGAGGTTGAGGGCATTACAGTGTTGTTTAAAGCTTAAAACCTTACTCTGAAGATTTGCAGCCGCCAAGTCAAAGTCGGTGTGGAAAGACATGATGACAAAATCATCCGCATATTGAAATACCATAGTGCTGGGGTCCTCAATATTATGTAACTCAGCAGTATAGATGTTAAAGAGAAGAGGGGAGAGACAACTGCCCTGTGGAAGTCCATCCTTGACAGTAACGCTTGCTCCACCCAACTTCAGTGTCCTTTCAGACAGGAAATTCAGTATCCAGCTGCAGAACACCGAGTTGATGCCGTACAGTTGCAGCTTTTTAATCAATATGTCACTCTTGACACAATTGTACGCATTACTGATATCGAGGGACAATATCAGCACCTTGAGGCCATTCGCCTTCAGAATTGCCAATCTATGTAAGACTTCATTTATACACATGGATGTGGACCTATTCTTCTGGTAAGCATAGGTCCTAGCTGGAAGAAACTTGTATTCATCCAGATGATGCTGGATCCTCTCCTTGATCATTAAGTTACAACATTTCATGAGTACTGAAATAAGGGATATAGGCCTAAAGTTGGAAATCAGTTCAAGGTCCTTGTTTGGCTTTGGAATAGGAACTATTTTAATAATACGCCAACTGTCTCGTATGTCATTATATTTTACAACGTTATTAATTGCTGTCAGAAAAGCCCGTTTGGATATACCCGGGAGAGCCTTAATCATGGAGTAAGTCACTCCATCCGCTCCTCCCGCTGAGCTACCCCTCTTATTGCTCAGAATTCTTTCAAACTCTTCAAACTCGAACGGCTTAAACTCATCCTCCGAACTATTTACCAGATTCGCTGCGTCGCTGGTTGTATCCTCCGGCACCTGATCCTTAAGAAAGTCCAAATACCTTTGATTGTTATCCTCGTTCCATGGCGACCTCGGTGGATTACATCTTCCTCTGACATTATTGATAAATTGCCAAGTTTTTTTCACATTCGGAGATTTGCTTACCTCATCAATTTTCATAAGGAAACTTTCTTTCTTGGCTCTCTCAACCTCGTTCTTCCAGAGTTCTCTTTCTACTCGAGCATTCTCCAGATTGACGTAAGAAGGAAACTTTCTGGCTTTTTTCAAGGCAGCAGCCTGCTTCCGGTACAGGACAAGCAACCTGTCATTCCACCAAAAATTTGGACTCCTACTTGAATCAATTTCATGTGTGGCATTGTTGATTTCCAACCTTAGGGCACTCTCAATGTCATCAAAGTCTGGTTCTAACATCGCATTACCTAGCGAGCTATGAAGTTTTCTCCTGGATAGAAATTTTTTGGGGTTATTTCTGGAAGCCTGCACTTGCACAATCACAGGAAAATGTCTGCTTCCACCTAGATAATTTTCAAGAGCAGTCCATTCAGCCACAACACCACTGCTCACAAACGATAAATCCAGCACCGATCCATCCGACATAACGTTTCGCCTAAAGGTTACCTTCCCACTATTGATACACCTTAAGTTGGAGCTTAATATTAGATTCTCTAAGTCTTTTCCTTTCCTAGTCGAAATCTGGTCACCCCAGACCTCATTTCTGGCATTGAAATCACCAAGGACCACAACCTTGTCCTTGTCTTCTAAAAAGTTAAGCAATCTTTCGATTTCCATATTAAAAACGTTCCCCGAAACTGAGGGGGGGAAATAGGCCGAAACCACATGAAGGTTGGGGCACTGATTCGTTGTTCTGGCTATAATGATATCGTATTCTGTATCATATTTAACTCTACAGAATCGAATATGTTTTTTGAAGGCAATGCACACACCTCCATAACCATCTGACCTAAACTTCTGGATTAGGTTGAAATTTATTAGTTTATTCGGTTTGTTCTTGTTTTCCGCAAATATTTCAGAGAAGGCTGCAATATCGATTTCATAGTTATTGCAGAAAAATTCTACGTACTGCTTGTTAGCTTGAAATGATTGAATATTGTATTGAAGTATTTTAAGACCCATGATTGGATGAAGGAACAGAATCGCTGCCCAACGGACTCATTGTAGAAACTCCACATTTCTGTATTCTGGTGGAAAAGTGATTTATTGCGTCAAGCGCAGTGGTATTACCATTCATGGTGAAGAAGTCTTTTACAAATCTCAATAACTCCGAGGTCACCTTTTCTAGCTCAGAGACTCTCTGATTATCTGTCACAAAGACCGGCTCTGCCGGCAGGGGTTGTGAGAACATTCTTTCCTGCATTTTTGCCCCCGGGGCATGAACATATCGTTTCTTAGGTAACTTAGCAACTGAATTAAAGGTGTATGGCGTCATAATTGTGTTCACTTCTTCCACCCTTTTGTCATTTCTTCCTCTTGTATCCTCTCTGCCTTTCGAGGGTAGCGGGGGAAAGGATTCATTATCTACAAGTAGGTCAAATCTGTTCCTAGTGCCATACTCCATAACCACTTCTCTTTTCGACATCTTCTTCTTTGTCATTATTTTGTTGGTTTCAATCTCCTTTCGCCAGACCGGACAGTTTTTCCTATCCGTAGCAACATGGCCAACCTTTTTGCACAAAATGCATTTCACCGCTTCGCATTGTCCATCACACATTCCCTCACCCCTTCCACATTGCAAACATCTCTCCTGTGACCTACAGCCAAGTCTGGTATGCCCTAACCTTCCGCACTTATGGCACTGCCTTACTGCTGGATAGTAGGTGTCGACTACCAGTAAAGTGTGGTTAAATATAACCCAGTCCGGATGATCGGTACCATAAAAACCGATCTTCACAGTCTCCGTTGTTTTAAACTTATTTGTATTGTTAGGGTCCCTTTTTGAAAACCGCTGAACAGACGCAACTCTTTTTGATGATACAATCCCTCTCCTTATGTCCTCCTCAGACCAACACAGAGGAACGTCCCTGATAACACCAAACGTCTCAATGAAGTTTCTTGGGATGAAAGCCCTCAACTTCCTCTTCCTCAACTCTTCATTGCTTACAAAGTCATTTGCCGACTTAATGTCATCAAAAGAAATTTTGTATAATGTGACTCCAATTGCCACAATTTTATTTACTTTTTTCATTTCATCCATTTGTAAATCCTTAATCTTCTCCACGAAGTACAGGCCATTTCTTACTCTTTTGTTTTTAACATTCTCTGCCTCTGAAGTATCCACTAATACATAAATCTCACCTGAATGATCCTCATTGTACAAGACTCTTTCTTCATTTATTCTCCTCTTCTTGTTCTCCAGCATTCCATCATCCTCACCACCACTGCTTCTTCTGCTTCCTTTGCTTACTCCATTCTCTTGCTCCACCAGCTCCATAGTCTCCCCTTTATGTTCATTGCCTTTCTTGGCCGTTGTCAAGCAAACCTCACCAACCACTCTTTTCCCTCTATTTCTTGTGGTTACAGTACTCCATTGACCATCCGATTTATCACTATCCATTCTACAAATTATGAGCGAGTCTTGCACCATCGTGCCCTCCTTTGACCCCTTGTTGGCCATCCCCAATGGCCATGCGCTGACAACCAGCCTCAGAGGTTATGTTTTTTTTTTTAATTAAAATTAATTAAAGTTGAAAATCACACGAACGATGAAATTTTAATTTATCGAAATTAAACTCTGCACCAAAGCGCATACGGTAATACTAGTTGGCCACAATCTATCGATTTATAAAATGATTTTTTGCTCTACACCAAGAAAACACGTGTATACACAACAAGATGTCTACCAGAAGTGAGTGTGGAAAGAGATAAATGTAAACTTTATCCCGAAAGCAGGAAACCCGAGTCACACGCTACCTAAGGACTAAAGACCGATTAGCATTTCTTCCTTTCTACTGAAGACACTAGAAAGATTTTTGGACCTATACATTTCATCGAATTTGAATAAGATCAGCAAAGCCCAACACACCTACATCTTTCGACTCATAAATTCTACAATTTCGCTGATTTTTTTTCGAAGACCGTCACAGTTAGACTGCAAAAACGATGCATTTTCAAGGCGCGGAACTATGGACAGGACTCCCCCACCCAGGCACGTCAGGAAAGATCTTCATGATCTAGAGAGAGAGGTCCAAAGGTACAAGCGTGAACCTCTAGATCAAGAAGCCTACCAAGCTGGTCTGAATGATATTCACACGGATGCAGTCGCTCAGGCAGTATAGCAATATCGAGTGAATACCATAATTGGAGACCACCCCCATCCATCGCAGCTGCCAAGGCAAAAACGAGTAGTCTTAGCTCAACTAAGATCAGGATGGTGCAACCGCCTCAATTCATATTGGGCAAGAATTGACGGCTCGATACCTAACACATGTCCGGCATGAGGACTAGGACCACACGACACGTTGCACCTCTTCAATTGCCCAGCTAAGCCTACTGACCTATCGCTGAATTCGCTTTGGACGCAACCCGCTGAAGTTGCAGCATTCCTGAATTTGGAGGTAGAAGATGCAGAACCAGACGATGCATGACAAAACGACATGTATTCTGTTGCTACAACAACAACACCTACATCTAAGTCAAATCTGTGGATACTGCCTTACATGAGGTGGTCGGGTATATTGAGAAGAATATGGAAAATTCCGGTTTCACATTGACTGCGTTCCTCGATATTGAAGAAGCCTTTAATAATGTGAAGCTGGAATCAATTAATCTGCTCTCGAATGTACAGGTGTCACCTCTTCACTAACATAATGGATTGATAGAACTCTGGAAAATAGAATTATCAAGTCATATATTGCGGAGAGTTTTGTGAGGAAGTCTGTCAGCAGAAAAATACCCCAGGGGGTAGGGTGTACTCTCTCCTCTACTGTGTCTTCTGGTGATACTAGTGAAATTCGATAGCCTATTCCGATGATGTAGTCCTATTAGTTAGTGGGGAATTTCTGCCGACTACCTCCGATATAATGCAGGGTGTCTTATTAACCTTGTCTAACTGGGCCCAGGCTAATGATCTTGGTGAGAACCCACGAAGACAAAAATGACACTCTTCACTTAGAAACTTAAGATCCCAAACTTCCGTCTGTCATATTCAACCATGGGGTAACCATAAACCTCTCCTTAGAAGCAAAATACCTCCACCACAAGCTAACGCGAAACAGATATTGTGAGGAGCGTACTAAGAAGGGTCTAAAAGCATTCTGCTTTTGCAAAAACTCCATAAGAGTTGGGGATCAAAATTTGAAAAAGGTTGTAGCCTATGCCGATGATGTCTAATTAGTCTGCTATGCCTAGTTATCTGTCGTCTATCTAGGTGCCTTATTAACTCTGTCTACCTGAGCCCAGGTTAATGATCTTAGTGTGAACCCCACAAAGTCAAAAATGGTACTCCTCACTAAGAAACGTACGATCCCAAACTTTCGCCTGCCATATTTGGTTGGGGTAACCACAAACATAAAAATTCGATAAAGGATGTAGCCTATGCCGATTATGTAGTCCTATTAGTTAGTGGGAAATTTCTGCAGACAACATCCTATATAATGCAGGGTGCTTTATTAATTCTGTCTAACTGGGCCCAGGCTAATGATGGTACTCTTCACTAAGAAACGTAAGATCCCAAACATTCGCCTCCCATCTTTGAGTGGGGTAACCATAAACCTCTTCATAGAAGCAGAATCTCTCAACCACAAGCCAACGTAAAAAATGATGCGTACTAACAAGGGTCTAATATCGATGAACTCTTGCAAAATTTCCATAGGTAAGAGTTGGGGGCTAAAATCCAAGATCGTACACTGGTCGTATATAACGGTTGCCCTCCCCAGCGAACCCTGCTGGCCAAAATGAGTAGCTTACAGCGATCAGTGTTGCTCCCTATAACTGGAGGCACCCTGAAGCATGCCGCAAGATGCCTTGAATGTAATCTAAAAACCGTTGGATATTTCAATTCAATTCCAGGCCTGGGGATCGTCGCACTTTGGCCTCAACATTATTTCAAATTATGCCATTTTAGGTAGGAATACTCACATTAACTATTTTCTCCCATAACGACATCGGAGTAATTATTCCTAACAGAAAATCCTAGTAAAATGGCTCCTTACCTCTGGCTGATCTATCGATATATACAGACGGGTCGAAGATGGAGAAAGGCACTGGTGCAGGTTATTAAAGAAATCTTAGAAATCACTAAAACGTCAGACATAGTCAATTATTTACTGCTGGCAATAGTCCGGCGGCCCTTATGGAAATTAAATCGCGTACTATTCGAAAGATCTACTGCGAGAAAGCCGGCAGCAGATGGTCAGCGGAACCTGGATCCATGTTTCCGAAGACTATCGGGCCTGAATTCTCACGTCGTAGAACTACGTCGTGCTGTCTAATAGGAAGAGGGAAAGATCCAAATTACTCTAGGACTCATAACAGGCCTCTGTAGGATTAGGTCACTTACTTCTGAAGGGGACATAAATGAAGTGGGTCATAGCTGTTTATTTGAGGATGAGGAAGAGCTAGGCAAATTTTCATATAAAGCGAGAAATCAAAATTACTGTAAGATTCATAACAGGCCCATTGCAGGATTAGATCACTTACTTCCAAATGATACATCAATGAAGTAGATTATTGCTGTTTATTTGAAAATGAAGAAGAGCTAGGCAAATTTTCTTGCTTTTGCCCCACTCGGAAATACTGTGAAGAATATTGAACCATGTCGAGTTGATCGACATTCCCATTATGAGCTATCGATATATATTTTTTGAAATGGTTCTAATTTTTGGTGTTTTGAAGTTTTAAGTTTAAGTTTTAAGTTGTGGTGTTTTGAAGTTTAAGCTTTAAAATCGTGATCGACATATTCCCATCATGAGCTATCGATATATTTTGTTTTTGAAATGGTTCTAATTTGTGGTGTTTTGAAGTTTTAAGTCGAAAGAAAAATGGTCTTGAGTTGACAATTGAGAAGCAGCCAATGACTATCGCTGATAGACCTATCGGCTTCAGCCTTTTGCAATTAGATCTACTCTTTTATCTTGCGGAAACATCGCTGGAGAGAGTTTCGGTTTTAGCTGTGAGGGTTCATGTAAAGCTTTAACCCTTGGTTCGACTTTCGTCTATCTATTGGTGGTCTTCCCAATTTCATTCTCCTCCCCTACCGGCGCTAAGGTGACCGAAGATTGAATTGTCCGCAACAATTCCGGCTTATTTGCAGCAGGCTGCTGCTCCTCGGTCGATCTCATCCTCTTCACTGCCAAAGGCTGTGAGGAGGTTTTGATTTCCATAGGATCAGCTACCGCTGAAATATCTGTAGTTGCTGCATGAATGCTTCCTGCCTTCTTACTCGTACTTGGAATAGGTACTGATTCCGCGCTGTGGTTATCTTTAATCGCCACCTTGGTTGAGAACTCGACATCGCTAACCACTGTACGCAAGGTGTGAATTCTCTCCACTAGGAGTTCCCTTATGACTTTTTTTGGATAATCTCTTTCATACTTTCTCACTATCTTCTCGGTTATAGAGTTAGGGTTGCACTTCGAAACGCCTTATTGTCCAGTGCTTCTTTGTTTTCGATTTTTTTCGTTTAGGGAGTCGACAGCAGGGTTTCCAATATAGATTTGGAGCTTCCTGCCCTGCAGTATCAAGGTAGGTTAATCGTTATCACGTTAGAGGGGGACCCTTTAATAACCGTGGTATCAAAATAGTTCTCCTCATTTATCATGAAGGCGTCGACCCACATATCTGCAGGAATGCTTTCCTGGCTCAGATGGAAAGATCAATCAATGGTATCGTTAATCTGTCGTTAAGCACAAAAAAGAAGTCGTTCCCGCGCACAGCATTAAGGCGTCCGTGCCCGAGTCAAATGTTGGAATGTTTGCTCTTGTGATGAGGGTGTCAAGCAACCACACCTGTCTCAGTCGAAGGGTTTTTTAATTTTATCCGGGCACCCTCAATTAGGCTGAGGATCGACTCACTCTGTTTCGTTAAACTGTCATAAACTTTGTAAACACAGAATAGATGCCGTCCCGCCCATAGTTTTTATATTCTGGCCTGTGGTTGAGTCCATACAAGAGTCCGTGTCCGTCCAGTGAAATGTTTGCTGTTTGTGAAGATGTGCACCGAGGGTACCAAGGCAACCTAAGGCAACCTATCCTATACAACTATTTTGTCAGGGTATTATAGCTTGGTGTGACCCCAAGAGTTTGTAACGCCGCGAAATATTGGTCCTAGGCCCGATCGTCTCGACTCGACAAGCTGAGTCGATCTAGACATGTGTATCCGTTCGTACATTATTTATTATAATTTGTAAACACGATACAGGCCACAGTTATGGACCAATAGCCATTTTGCATGTAGTACTGGTTCTAACCAAAGAAGAATTCTATTATTGTTGTTGGTAATGATCGGATAACATTTACGGTATCAAATGGACCAACATCTTTATTTTTGGACCAACAACTTTATATTACCCATGTGCGGAAAATAAGTCCATAGGTACATCAAAAGTGGGTACAATTTAGTTTTTTTTCCGATGTGGGTCGGAGAAAACAATCCAGGCTTTTCTATTTTTTTTTTTCGAAATAAAGGATTCTATTGACAGGTTCGTTTTCGGTTTTCCATCACAGATTTGACTGTGTTTCTGTCTATACCAAACTATGAACTACATAACTATAACTTTTTTTTATAAAATATTGAATATAATCCACATATCTTTATTAACCAATTTCTCCCTTCCAATCTCTTTATTTCCCAGACTTCTCGGAGTTTAAGCACAGACAGCAACCGTTTCGGTAGCCTAACATCAGCCTCGTCATCATCATCTACGACAAATGGTGGCGGCGATGACAAGGGTCCTTTTGTTTTGCAAACATTAAAACGTTTAGAAAAATCCCAATCAATTCTGGTCATACGCAATTCATCATCAACGGCATTGTCGTCGACATCGGCCGGAACAGCATCTTCTTCTTCGAATATATCATCAGGTGCCAATTCTACCTCATCCTTAGCAAATATTGCAAAATCATCCTCGGCTTCGTCTTCATCGTTGGCCAATTCATTGACAGTGGAACATAAGCTAAGCTTATCCTCATCATCTTTGTCCTCCATGCAACAGAAACAGCAGCACCAACAACACCAATCCCAAATTCTGACAACGTCCGGAGCAGGAGGTAATGTTGTCAACACAAAACCAAATACTATCACCTTTACACGTCACAAAAAATCTCAAAGCAAAGCAAATAATGGAACAAATAACAATACTGCTAATAACAACAACAATGGTGGTGGTCATCATAATTCATCCTCAGCGCTGAATAGTAGTGGTGGTGGTGGGGCAACAACAATAACCACCACCAAATTGGGTGATATTTTAGCCTCCGCCAAGGGACAGCCAAGGCATATTTTGACAGCTACGGCCAGTACCAATACTGGGGGTAATGGTAAGGCAACAAATGTTGCTGCTGCTGGAGGTAATGGCGGTACAACCACCACCTATTTGCGTTTAACAAATGCCAATGGCAACAATAATAACAGCAACAATAACAACAATGGTAATAGTAATATTGCAACTATTGCTGCCAATATTGTCCATAAAAATCATCATAATTCTTCACGTGTAAATCTCAATGGTGCGAATGTCGAAACAATACCTACAGCAGCTGCTGTAGCTGGAGCAGGACAAGGCTCCACACAGAAACAACAACAACAACATTTAAATTTGGCCGATGTCCAGCTAAAACATGAAAGGACTTCAACAACATCTGCTGCTGCCAGTAGTAGCACAACGGGCTCACAGAAGACCCCAGGGAGCGGTAAGTTTCGAAAAATGTTTCTATTTTCTTATTGTTGTTTTTTTGAATTTTAAAAATTTAGAAAGCATAGAAATAAAAGGAAATTGACAAAGGTCATAAATTTTAAATAGAAAAAAAACAAAGCTCAAGGTAGGTATTGTTGTTGCGTTTTCAAATTTAAATTTGCGCCTAAAAATATGCTACAAAATGTCGTATTGAAAATTAAAAATGTAAACAACTCCTAAAAATATGCTATAAAACTTTGGATTTTAAAATAAAATGTGGTTAACAATAATTTCTCGAAATCTATACTAATAAAAGAGTAAAGTGATTGACTGACTGACTGATTTAACGATTCATCAACGCCCAGACAAAACGGCTGAAGCTAGAATCTTGAAATTTTGGGTGAGGGTCACTCTTGGTTCAAATGTGACAGATAAGGCTGGGTTTTTGGAAATTCGTACTAGAACGGTACGAAAAGTACTAAAACGTACTAAATGTGATGCCATTTGTATTTGGCGAACCGGTGGAGCTAGAACTCTGAAATTTGGTTTTGGTTTACGAAAAGTACTATATGGTACTATATTTGGTACAAATTTAATTTAGAGGTACAAATCGAGCTGGAATCCTGAAAATTGATATTAACATTACCGTTGGAGTATAGGATTGGGGTATGTACGTAGTTTTGGAAATTTGTTACTTATGAGTACGAAAAGTACTAAATCGTACTATAATTGGTACAATTTGGATTTGGGTGAACCGATAGAGCGGGAACAATAAAATTTGGAGTAAGGACCACTGTAGGGATGTAGGATTAGGGTCAGGATTCAGTTTAAGAAAATAATACTTATGGGTACTAAATGGTACTAAATTTGGTACAATTTGAATTTTAGGTGAACCAATAGAGCTAGAATTATGAAATTTGGAGTCAGGATCACTGTTGAGGTGTAAGATTGAAATATGTAGGAAGTTTTAGAAATTTGTACTAATGTGTACTAAATTTGGTACAATTTAAATTGTGGGTGAAGCGATAAAGTTTGAATCCTGAATTTTGATTCAGGATCACTGTGGAGGTGTAGGATTGGAGTATGTAGGTAGATTTGGAAATTGGTACTAATGTGTACTAAATTTGGTACAATTTGAATTGTGGGTGAACCGATAGAGTTGGAATCCTGAATTTTTAATTTAGGATCACCTTGGAGGTGTAGAATTAGGGTATGTAGGAAGTTTTGGAAATTGGTACTACTATGTACTAAATTTAGTACAATTTGAATTGTGGGTGAACCGATAGAGGTGGAATCCTGAAACTTGGTTTTAGGATCAGTGTGGGGGTATGATTGGGGTGTGTAGAATGTTTTAGAAATTCTTACTACTGTGTACTAAATTTTGTACAATTTAAATTGTGGGTGAACAGATAGAGTTGGAATCCTGAAACATGGATTTAGTATCACTCTGGGGGTGACGGTTTGGGTTAAGTAGGCAGTTTTGGAAATTCGTACTACTGTGTACTAAATTTGGCACAATTTAAACTATGGGTGAAGCGATAGAGTTGGAATCCTGAATCTTGGATTTAGTATCACTGTAGGGGTGTAGGTTTGGGGTAAGAAGGCGGTTTTGGAAATTCGATCTATTGTGTACTAAATTTGGTACAATTTGAATTGTGGGTGAACCTATAGAGTTGGAATCCTAAAACTTGTATTTAGGATCATTGTAGGGATGTAGGATTGAGGTAGGTAGGAAGTTTTGGAAAGTGGTACTACTGTGTACTAACTTTGGTGCAATTTGAATTGTAGGTCAACGAATAAAGTTGGAATCCTGAAACTTGGATTTAGGATGACTGTGGGGGTGTAAGAAGTTTTGAACATTGGTACTACTATGTACTAAATTTGGTACAATTTGAATTGTGGGTGAACCAATAGAGTTGGAATCCTGAAACTTGAATTTAGGATGACTGTGCGGGTGTAGGATTGAGGTATGTAGGAAGTTTTGGACATTGGTACAACTATGTACTAAATTTGCTACAATTTACTAATGTGATACAAATTGATAGGCAGTCGGGCAACCATTCCTATGTGAAAGGTTAATGTAGTCGAATTTCCATAAGTCAAAGTGCAGGATGTAATTTATAATTATTTCCATAACTCGAAGGCCCTATACGTTAGTTTTGGTGGTTCGTGTTGTGTAAGTTCGACTGTATTTTGATTTTTTTCTTCTTGGACAATAAAAAAAATCAAACAAATTATCAGTGAGCCAATATTTTCACACCCCCAGGGACTGGTTGTGACTGAAGATATAAATAAATATATTAGAGAGAAGACCATAACGAACAACATGCATCCATCGGCTATGCATATTGAATGTTTCGAAGCTGGACACTTACTTCCCCAAATTCCTTATTCCTTTCCCCTTCTCATTGGCTGAACTTCGGCCTCCTTCAAAACCAACCAACGATACTTCCTTGAACACTTGAATGGTGGTTAGTTCCTTTCTTATGTTAGCTCCCATGAGTTTGAATATGTGATGAATTGCTCTGACTGCCAGTCAGCTTGCCTACAACACACTTATAAGTCAAGTGTAAATAGAAACAGTTGTAGGATGTGCATACTCAACGGATTTTTTTTCTTGTATATGCCAGGGGCCATGGAAGCAAACAAACAAACAAACACTTCGCTCACTCATGATGTAAAAGAAAATCGTCGGCTAATTCAATTCCAAAGCTGAACAAGTGTTTCTTTTTTGGTTGTTCATGTTGTTGTTGTTGTTGTTTTTTGTTTTTCATTTATATACACAGACATACTCACACTCAGATGTGAAAAAAGAGTGTAGCAAATTAGCTCAAGGATATTGGACGTACAGTAAAGGACTTACAAATAAAGGAGGATGTTAAGAATAAAGTAAAAAAAAAACATATGGATACTTGGTGAAGGGATATTCAGAGCTCTACACTCAATGAATGAACTTCTTGGCCTATTCTATTCGGAATTGAGGCTACAATGGAGGTTTCATAACACTGTGCAATACAAAAAATATTTATCGGGAAATTATGATAGAGGGGCTAAAAATAGGATGTCGGCATTTTGAAAGTTTACGTTCCCATAGAACATGATGTGCTGTTTGATACATAGATACCTTAAGTTCAGTATCGCTTTCAATCATCGCGGCTCCAGTTGTGAGAATCGAAGCAGATTTTTGTATCTTTGTCCATTTTGCCGGATGTCAACATAGTACAAGATGGGTCTCACAACAGTGCTATACAGCCAATGTACAATCGATGGGGAGCTTTTCCCTATATAAAGTGTCTCACTCTCTCCTCAGCATTCCTTTTCCATCGTAGTTGACAATCTATTGAGGAGAATGGATGATAGGTTATTGAGCCTGTCGTGTTTGGTGCGGAGTGATTTGGTTTTTTCGCCTTGAGATTGTAAGTGACTCTTTCCACACATCCGGTACACACGATGGAGTCAGACACACCCTATAGATGTCCTCCACTACCGATGTTATATCGCCCGGTCCAGATGATTTATACGTTTTACCTCATTTTTGTCAACCACTTTCCCTATGAGACTCGAAGTCGCATCTGTTTGGTTGAAGTTCCCGTATTTAGCTCTACTGAGGAAAAACCCGGTGGACTATAGCCACAAGACGGACAGACATTATCCACTATGCCAGAGGCGGTTACACCACACAGATCTCTGCTTTGTTGCTGCAACTGAAACATAAAAAGGAGAATCAATTACTTGTTGCCCGGTTCTTACTAATCTGTGTTCAATTCCAGAAGGGTTCAACCTGTATGGGTTGCGTACATAGAGAATTCAGAAACAAGTCAGTAGGCTTAGCTGGACAGTTGAATAGGTGCAACGCGTCGTTTGGTTCTAGTCTACATGTTGGGATTATGACCACAATTCGGTTTGCCCAATCCTGATCTTAGCTGTGCTAAGACTACTCGTGTCTGTCTAGACTGCTGCTTCTTCTCTGAAGCTATGGATGATATATGGTCTCCGAGTACAGCATTCATATGGTATTGTTCTACTGCCTGGGTGACTGAATATGTATGAATGCTATCTAGGTCTGTCTGATAAGCCTATTGATCACGACAGAGAGAGAGAGAGAGAGATCTTAATAGGGTTGTTTCCGACAATAACACCGAAGCAGGTATGGCAACGACAACATTTGATTGTGTCTATGGTCGGGTATGATCTTCGTCTCTTCATTAGCATTGGCCGTTGATATCATGAGGAGCCACTCTGTTGCAGTTCTGGCAGGTCTGTTTGCCCAATCCTGATCTTAGCTGTGCTAAGACTACTCGTGTCTGTCTAGACTGCTGCTTCTCCTCTGAAGCTATGGATGATATATGGTCTCCGAGTACAGCATTCATATGGTATTGTTCTACTGCCTGGGTGACTGAATCTGTATGAATGCTATCCAGGCCTGTCTGATAAGCCTGTTCATCACGTTTGTATCTTTGGCTCTCTCTCTACATAATAAAGATCGAGAGAGATCTTAATAGGGATGTTTCCGACAATAACACCCAAGCAGGTATGGCAACGACAACATTTGATTGTGTCTATGGTCGGGTATGATCTTCGTCTCTTGAGGAGCCACTCTGTTGCAGTTCTCAGGGTGGCATTCTGGCAGGTCTGTTTTCGAAATACAAATACTTTGGTTAGTCGCGGTAGCTGCTGCTTTTCTGTTGCTATTGATAGCGGGTGTTCTCCGAGGATTATATTTACCCTGTATTCTCGAATTGATTACTCAACTGCAACATTATGAATACGATTCAATCCTACCTGATAGACCGGTTGATCTAAAGGTTGTCTTTTGTACCTCCAGACTTCCCTCTAAATCATGAAGATCTTTCCTTCATAACGTGGTGGTTCAGATGGATTTTGCATTGCATTAACGTTGACGATCCACACTGTAACCGCACAGACCGGCATATCGCTGTATGGTTTGTATACAATGTTTCTTTAGTAGCTTCTCAAGAACTGGCGGCTAGTGACTTGATGGCCTTGTTCCAGCTC